AATCTCCTTTTCTGGCCTCTTAGCAGTGACATGGTATGGGAAAAGGCACTCCAGCCCTCTGACCTCAGCTTCCCTCTCTGTTAAACCCAGGATGTTAAAAGTATGGACCCCGGCCGGGTGCGGTGGCTCACGCCTGTAATCCTAGCACTATAGAAAAAATGAGCTGGACATGGTGGCACATGCCTGTAGTCCCAGCTACTCAGGAGGCTGAGGCAGGAGGATCGCTTGAGCCCAGGAGTTGGAGGTTGCTGTGAGCGAGGCTGATGCCACGGCCCTCACTCTAGCCTAGGCAACAAAGCGAGACTCTGTCTCAAAAACAAAACAAAACAAAAAAATCTCCTTTTCTCAAAGCTGTCGTGGGGCTTAAATGGGATCAGGAATGAGAGCACCAAGTACAGTGTCTACCTGTTTCCACCCGATGTATGGTGGTGGGTGGAGGCAAGAGCATTGATATCACCCAGGGGCTTGCTGAAAGTACAAAGTCAGGTCCCATGCCAGACCTCCTGGATCAGAATACGCATTGGAATAAAATCCCTGAGTGACCTACATACGCACTGAAGTCTGAGAAGGTCTGGCCTATTCACCCCTATGCAGCTCCTAGGTGGCTCTGCTTCCCTCCTGCCCTTGGGCTCTGCTCACCTGGACAGGGACTTGGGGTAGAAGAGGCTGAGGGACTTCATGGCGTACTCCATTCTCGTCAACTGGACTAAATTGGACCTGGGAAGGAAGCAGAAACAGCTCATCAGGGTGGGGTGGGAGGGTTCCCCCACTCTCTCTCTCATCACTGGACACAGGTCAACCCAACTCCCATCCGACAAGCCTGCACCCTGGTGTCCTACCCCAACTCACACACAGCTCCTGAGCCCTCCTTCTCCTGCCCAGCCCCATGCACACCAACTGTGACCCAACTGGAGACCCCCTCCACCGCACCCCAGTGCTGAGGCTCAGCCCCGTGCAGCAGCCCAACTGCTCCCCTGACCCAAGCCCCACTCACTCCATGCTGCTCGGCCCCTGGCTCTGGTCACACTGAACAGGGATCCCAAGTCGGGGCCGAAGAGGCCCTGCCTGGTTCCTTCCTGGCTGTCCCTGGGGGCAGAGTCCACTTTGCGCTGGCAGAGGTGAGTCATGCCACCTCACACTTCTGGGGACCGTTACCTCACCTCTGGTCCAGAGACCTCGCAGGCAGGCAGGCAGGCAGCCTGGCCTGAGCCTGCTTCCTCCCATGGGTCCTTGAGCAATCTGCGCCCCTCCCTGAGGCTTCCCACTGGCCAAGAGAACTTTCTGTGATGATGTTCTGTGTTTGTGCTCTCGACACCACAGCCACTAGGCCAAGTGACTCTTGAGCACTTGAAATGTGGCCAGTGTGACCAAGGAGCTGGACTTCTAATTTTATTGAATTTTTTTTTTTTTTTTGAGACAGATCTCACTCTGTTGCCAGGGCAAGAGTGAGTGCCGTGGCATCAGCCTAGCTCATAGCAACCTCAAACTCCTGGGCTCAAGCGATCCTCCTGCATCAGCCTCCCGAGTAGCTGGGACTACAGGCATGCGCCACCATGCCTGGCTAATTTTTTCTATATATATTAGTTGTCCAATTAATTTCTTTCTATTTATAGTAGAGACAGGGTCTCACTCTTGCTCAGGCTGGTTTTGAACTCCTGACCTTGAGTAATCCGCCCACCTTGGCCTCCCAGAGAGCTAGGATTACAGGCGTGAGCCACTGCCGCCGGCCTTTTTTTTTTTTGAGACAGGGTCTCAGTTTGTTGCCTGGGCTAGAATATACTGGTGTCCTCATAGTTCACTGCAGCCTCAAACTCGTGGGCTCCATTGATCCTCCTATCTCGCAAGTAGCTGGGACTATAGGCATATGCCACTATGCCTGACTAATTTTTTTCTATTTTTAGTAGAGATGGACAGGGTCTCACTCTAGCTCAGGCTGGTCTCGAACTCCTGGCCTGTAGCAATCTTCTTGCCTTGGCCTCCCAAAGTGCTAAGATTGCAGGCGTGAGCCACCACACCTGGCCTAATTTTTTTTATTTTTTGTCTTGCTGGGTCTTGCTATGTTGCCCAGGCTCATTTCAAATTCTTGGCCTCAAGCGATCCTCCCAATCTCAGCCTACCAAAGTGCTGGGATTACAGGCACAAGCCACCACACCTGTCCAGTTTTACTGAATTTTAACTAATTTAAATTTAAATAGCCACTGTGCCTTGTGGCTCCTGGGACCCATATTGGCAGCCCAGGTCTAGGCAGAAAGCCCTGGGCTCACCTGCCACCACTTTCCCCCTGAACCTCTGTGCTCTAGCTCTTGAAGGCTCTGAGCCAGGCGTCCTCAAACTACGGCCCTCGGGCCACATGCAGGTGTTTTTGCCCATTTGTTTTTTTACTTCAAAATAAGATATGTGCAGTGTGCACAGGAATTTGTTCATAGTTTTTTTTAAACTATAGTCCGGCCCTCCAACGGTCTGAGGGACAGTGAACTGGCCCCCTGTTTAAAAAGTTTGAGGACCCCTGCTCTAAACTTTTGCAAGGGTAGCTCCCTCCATCGGTGATGCCTTTCTCTGACCCAGGGCTAACTTTTTCCAGCCTTCAAGCCCATTTCACGGGATTCCAGGAAAGCCTTCTTAGACAGCTCACAGAGTTATTACCCCACCATGCTGTCCTTCCTCGCTGAGTGTGTCTCTGTGTCTGTCTCTGCTATAGCTCCCTGATCCCTGGGTGCCTGGCCTTGAGGTGCTCTCCCTGCTCCCAGCCTCCAGCACAGAGAGGGCCTGGCACACAGCAAGGGGCAGGAGGAGTGGGTGTGGAACAAAAGCCCCTTCACCAGTGGAGTAAACTCACTCTTTCCTTCTAACAACCTGAGGGCTTTGCAGACCAGCCCCGCAGAGGCAGAAAGTCCTCTTCCCCGCTTAGCACTACCTAAGCCTGCTTGCTTCGGCCTCTCTCTCTTCCTACCCCTGGCGAAACCCTGCCAAGCCGGCTCTCCAGGAGCAAAAAATCCAACAAACTCCTTACCTCCCCTTCACAGCCTCCTGGAAACACTCCCCAGCCCAGCCCAGCCCTCCCTTCATTTTATTTCCAGCTCCCATGAAGCCCCTCCCCTGGATTTCGAGCCCCAGCTGGGGAAAAGAGCTGGGGAGTGAGTTTTGGCTCTCACCACAGGAACTGCAAGCTGGCCTGACTTCCAGAAAAACGCCTGAAAAGGAGGGGAGAAGGCATGTTTCGAAAGCTTTAGAAAAGGTTATGGCCTGGGACATGACAGCAGGCACAGAGGGCACAGAAAGCAGGCGGATGAGGGTGCGGTCCCAGCTCCACTGCTTGTGGACCCGGCACCTTAACTTCCATGAGCCCCAGCGCCTCTCACCCGCGTGACAGGATGGCGATAACTGCTTTCTAGGGTAGCGGTAAGGATTAGTGATAATAAAAGGAAAGGCTTTGCAATATAGACACTCAATAGATGAAAGTGATTATTGGTATTATTAATAATGTATTAGATAATAGCAGAGACTAAGACAAGCTGAAATGTGGAGCAGTTAAGAGTGTAAGATCCTGGCCGTGCGCGGTGGCTCACGCCTTTAATCCTAGCACTTTGGGAGGTTGATGCGGGCGGATTGCTTGAGCTCAGGAGTTTGAGACTGGCCTGAGCAGGAGTGAGACACTCCTCTCTGCAAAAAATAGAAAGAGAAATTAATTGGACAACTAAAAAAATATACAGAAAAAATTAGCCAGGCAAGGTGGCACATGCCTATAGTCCCAGCTACTCCGGAGGCTGAGGCAGGAGGATCACTTGAGCCCAGGAGTGTGAGGTTGCTGTGAGCGAGGCTTATGCCAGGGTACTCTAGCCCAGGCAATAGAGTAAGACTCTGTCTTAAAAAAAAAAAAAGACTGTAAGATCTGGCTGGTCTGAGTGCAGTAGTGCTTGCTACTAATTGATCATAATCAGTTACAGATTTCTTTGTTTCTTTTCCACTCCCAGTGCTTCCCTTGACTATCCTTAACCCTTTGCACTCAGATGTCGAGTGTGACCCGACACGGTTAGCAAAAAATATAGAGATTAAAATTACTATTTGAATGTATCAATAATTTGAAATATAAAAAAATCCAAATAAGTTGTACGAAAAGAAACTCCAGTTTTTTATTCTACTGCCGCGCTTTGTTAAATCTGGGGTATTGGAAAAATTAAATCAAGAGTAGAATAAAGGAATTGAGAAAAAAGCAAGCGAGTGCAAAGGGTTAAAAAAATTAAAAACAAAAAAAGAAAAAAAAGAGTGTAAGATCTATGACCCAGCAATTCTACTTCTATATGCACATATATATGTGTATGTGTATATATATAAATAATATAGAGCTGGGCATGGTGGTGTACCTGGGTAAACCCTTTAATGGCTTCCCAACATCCCTGGGATAAAGTCCTAACTATTTTTTTTTTTTTTTTAGAGATGGGATCTCACTATGTTGACCAGGCTGGAGTACAGTGACATGATCTCACCATAACCTTGAACGCTTGGGCTCAAGTAATCCTCATACTTCAGCCTCCATGTAGCTGAGACGACAGGCATGTGCCACCATACCTGGCTAATTTTTAAAATTCATTTATTTTATTTTATTTTTATATATATATATTTTTGAGACAGAGTCTCACTTTGTTGTCCAGGCTAGAGTGAGTGCCGTGGCGTGAGCCTAGCTCACAGCAACCTCAATCTCCTGGGCTCAAGCGATCCTCCTGCCTCAGCCTCCCCAGTAGCTGGGACTACAGGCATGCGCCACCATGCCCGGCTAATTTTTTATATATATATCAGTTGGCCAATTAATTTCTTTCTATTTATAGTAGAGACAGGGTCTCGCTCTTGCTCAGGCTGGTTTCGAACTCCTGACCTCGAGCAATCTGCCCGCCTTGGCCTCCATTTATTTTATTTTAAATTTATTTATTGGCACGGAGGGCGGGAAGCTGAGCATGGCGGCGGAGGACTGGTGGGGCGGTGCGCTGAGGAGAGGGCTTGCCGGAGAGGCGGACTGTTGCTATGCCGGCGCCATGGACGCCGCACAGCGGAAAGCACATCATCACGCCTTCTGCTTCAGCGTGAAAGGCCACGTGAAGATGCTGCGGCTGGCACTAACTGTGACATCTATGACCTTTTTTATCATTGCACAAGCCCCTGAATCATACATAGTTATCACTGGATTTGAAGTTGCCATCATTTTGTTTTTCATACTTTTATATATACTCAGACTTGATCGATTAATGAAATGGTTATTTTGGCCTTTACTTGATATTATCAACTCAATGGTAACAATAGTATTCCTGATCATCGTATCTGTGTTGGCACTAATACCAGAAACTACAACATTGACAGTTGTTGGAGGGGCATTTGGATTCTTGGCAGCAGTGGTCTGTCTTGCTGACGGGGCCCTTATTTACCGAAAGCTTCTGTTCAATCCAAGTGGTCCTTATCAGAAAAAGTCTATTAGTGAATAAAAGATTGTTTTGGTAATTGTATATTGCTTTTTAGTTTGATACTAAGTATTAAACACATTTCTTTATTCTTCCATAAAAAAAAATTATTTATTTTTGTTTTTTAGAGATGGGATCTCACTATGTTGCCCAGGTTGTTCTGGAACTCCTGGGCTCAAGCAAGCCTCCTGCCTCAGCCTCCCAAAGTGCTGGGATGACAGGAGTGAGGCACCATGCCTGACCAAGGCTTACCTCTTTATTGTGGCCTTCAAATGCTCCGGTCGCTCTGAAGTTTTTCAGTTCTTTAAACAGCCAGTGCTCTCTGGATTCTGGGCCTTCACAGCTTCAGTTCCCTTTGCCTGAAATGCCTTCCCCTCCCTACTACCTCTTTACTCCAGCTAATTCCTACTCAGGCTTTAGGCCTCAGCTCAGATGCTGCCACTCTGGGGAGCCTTCCTAACCCTCAAAGTGGGAGAGAGGTGCCTTCTCTTTGCTCCCTCAGCCTCCTGTACTTTCTCCCCTCATGGCACTCACCGCCCTATTTTGCAGCTTCATGGGTCTAAGGTCTTCCCCCCACTGGGCTGTGATCCCTCAAGAGACAGGGACCATGTCTGTTTCATTCTGTGTCCCCAGGTTATAGTATAGTATAGTGGTGTGTAGTGGATGTTCAGTACGTTTTTTTCAAATAATGTAGCTTTCTTAAAGTTTTATTTTATTTTATTTTATTTTTGAGACAGAGTCTCGCTTTGTTGCCCAGGCTAGAGTGAGTGCCGTGGAATCAGCCTAGCTCACAGCAACCTCAAACTCCTGGGCTCAAGCAATCCTGCTGCCTCAGCCTCCCAAGTAGCTGGGACTACAGGCATGTGCCACCATGCCTGGCTAATTTTTTCTCTATATATTAGTTGGCCAGTTAGTTTCTTTCTATTTATAGTAAAGACAAGGTCTCGCTCTTGCTCAGACTGGTTTCAAACTCCTGACCTCGAGTAATCCGACCGCCTCAGCCTCCCAGAGTGCTAGGATTACAGGTGTGAGACACTGCACATGGCCTAAAGTTTTATTTTTTGAGACAGACTCTCACTCCATTGCCCTGGCTAGAGTGCCAGGGTGTCAGCCTAGCTCACAGCAACCTCAAACTCCTGGGCTGAAGCGATCCTCCTGCCTCAGCCTTCCCATTTCCCTGGGACTACAGGCATGCGCCACCATGCCCGGCTAATTTTTTGTATATATATTTTTAGTTGGTCAATTAATTTCTTTCTATTTTTATTTATTTATTTTGAGACAGAGTCTCACTTTGTTGCCCAGGCTAGAGTGAGTGCTGTGGCGTCAGCCTAGCTCACAGCAACCTCAAACTTTTGGGCTCAAGCAATCCTGCCTCAGCCTCCCGAGCAGCTGGGACTACAGGCATGCACCATCATGCCTGGCTAATTTTATATATATATATATTTTTTTAGTTAGCCAATTAATTTCTTTCTATTTTGAGTAGAGACTGGGTCTCCTGTTGCTCAGGCTGGTTTCCAACTCCCAACCTTCAGCAATCCTGCGGCCTCAGCCTCCCAGAGTGCTAGGATTATAGGCGTGAACCACCGCGCCCAGCCAAAGTTTTATTTTTTTATGGTGGTAAAATGTACCTAACGTCAAATTTACCACCTTAATCCTTTTTAAAAGAGTACAGTTCAGTGCCATTAAGCACATGCTCATGGGATGTGCAAACAGCACCACCTCCTGCCTCTAAGACTGTCTCATCCTCCGAACTGAAACTCTGTGCCCATTAAACAGCAATTCCCCAGTCGCTGCCCAGCCCTGCCAGCCCGTGGTAACCATCGTTCTACTCTTGTCTCTACAGATAACGTAATGTTTTATTTGGAAATAATTGCTTTTTCTTTCATGGCCTTGACATTTTTGAAGAGTGCAGTCCAGCCGTCTTGCAGAATGTTCCTCAGTTTGGGTTTGTCTGTCATTTCTTTTTTTTTTTGTCATTTCTTCATGGTTAAATTCAGGTTTAGTATTCCTGTCAGAGACACGACACGGAAGCGATGCTGTATCCTCAGCGCATCGGGAGACAGAGGGTGCCAGCTTGGCTCATTATAGGCCGGGTTAGCTCTGACCACTTGGTTAAGGGGGTGGCGGCACCAGGTTTCCTCACGGAAAAGTCACCCTTTTCTTTTTGCAATGATGAAGCGATCCCGCGGAGAAAGTTGATAACCTGTGTGAATGATGTGTGTTCCAAAGAGCAGTTTCCCCTTCTGTGAAGTGGAGACAGCGGTGTCTCAGACTCATATTAGAGCTAAAGAAAGCCAGAGAGCCTCCAAGCAGCCATCCCGGCAGACGGAAAAAAAATCCGCCAAACTTGGGGGACCCAGTTCCGGTGCGCTCCGCTCGGCAGGGGCTGGGCGAAGTTGAGAGAGAACCTGTGCGCGTGCGCGCTGGAGGAGCGACCACAGAGTCGGTCCTCCCAAGACCAGAGAAGCCGGAAGTCCTCCGCGGAGAGCCGCGCGGCTGTAGGGTGGCGGTGCGAATGGCATTCCCCTGCGTCTCGGCGCTGTGGTAGCAGCCGCGACTCCCAGTGAGGGGAAATCCGGGGTTCTGGGCGTTTACAATGGCGTCTCGGGCAGGCCCGCGAGCGGCCGGCACCGACGGCAGCGACTTTCAGCACCGGGAGCGCGTCGCCATGCACTACCAGATGAGGTATGGTGGAGCGAGGCGAAGAGCACTGACGGCCTCACGGTCGTTCTCCCCGGCCAGTCCCGCACACCTGGAGAGTCCCCTCCTCCAGCGATGGCGTCGGGCTGTCTCCCATCCTGGGAAGTCCCCGTCGCCCTCGCGAGGGCCACACCTTCATTCATTCCGTGCCCTGAGGGGATCCAGCCCCGCGTGGGTTCTGGAGTCAGATCGGTGCTCTTGGAAACCCGATTTCTCATTGAGCCTCAGTTTCCTCATCTGCAGAGGGAGACAATAACCCGCCTTTTGGGTTTGGGGTAAGAAGAAAGCTTGAGGCCTACCACCTAGTACCATGGTAGCTGTTATATTCTGGGCTGTTCGCGGGGATGTGGAGGGTAAAAGGGAGCCTTTCCCTGGCCAAAACGAATTTTATAAACACTCCGATGTAAGGGATATTTACACATGCGATCATTTGTTCGACAAATAACCTTCTTGAGCTTCTACCCGTCGTGCATTGTGTAAGACGCTGAGGCTCTTAGAGCCAAAAGCAGACCTGGTCTCTTTTCATGTTATACTTTCAATAAAAAGTTTATTAAAAAAAAGAAACAAAAAGCAAAACTGTCACCTGCCTTCATTGAGCTTGAGGTCTAGAGATGACTATTTTTTTTTCTGCGTTTTTCCACATTTTCTGTAGCAAATATTTTAAAAATAAAAATGTAAAAAGATTTTGCTTCCTTAAATCCATTGAACTCTCCCAGAATGTTCTTCAAATCCTTCTCTCTATAATTTTGAAGAATGACAAGCTTTTTGGGCCCTCACTTCATTCTCATCTTTAGGCACCTGCTTAAGAGAGCCTCACAACCCAAGAAGGTGTTTTCATGCCTTCCCGGAGCAGAAACATTGCTCTAGGGGGTATGGAGAGGATACATTTGGGAACTGAGAGAATTAGAAGAGTAAGAGAGATATGTGCTTCCTGTAGATGAAAAATCTAGCTGGAGAAATAGGGGCAGTATGAGCTCCTTTCCCCATTGCCAGTACCTTTCTCCCTCTGGGCTGTACTCCTGTGGTGCAAAATCATCTTTCTAAACACAGTTACTCTCCTGGCTTTAAACTGTCTCTTTCGTAATCTTTGTAACTTCATATCCCACTACTCCCCTTTCCCCACAATGTGTTCTTGCCACACTCAACCATTTGTTTCCTGAAACATAAATGCGTATGCCTTTTTGCCTGCATGCTACTGCCTCTGCATGGAATGCCCATTTTCACTCATCCCTCAGAGCCTAGCTCAGGTATTACTCGCCTCTAGATAACCTTCTCTGACAAGTCCTCCTTCCCGTGGTCCCATATATCTTGGAACATGTATTTACTAGAGCTGTTTTTAGTTCCTTTTCCCTCCCCTCCCCTCCCCTCCCCTCCCCCTCCCCCCTCCCCCCTCTCTTTTCTTCTCCTCCTCTTTTTTTTTTGAGATAAGTCTCACTTTGTTGCCAGCTAGGAGTGAGTTGCCATGGTTCAGCTAGTCACAGCACCCGAAACTCCTGGGCTCAAGCAATCCTGCGCCTCAGACTCCAAGTAGCTGGAACTACAAGCATTGCGCCCCATGCCTGGCTAATTTCCATATATATTAGTTGGCCAATTAATTTCTTTCTTTATAGTAGAGACAGGTCTCGCTCTTGCTCAGGTTGTCTCGAACTCCCTGACCTTGAAGCAATGCGCTCGCCTCAGCTCCATAGTTCGTTCTTTCTAATCATTTCCTCCTCGTTCTGTGCCTAGCCTCTGGGCTATCTTATCAAATTGTATCCTAGTGTGCAATGCATTGCTGTGGCATATCGTGGTGGTCAGAAAAATCTGAATGACAAGGTACTTCTCCCTCTCTCTTGCTCCACAGCGTGACCCTCAAGTGATGGAAATCAAGAAGCTGTATTCTATCTGCATCCGTCTTATGGTGCTGCTGGTATGCCAAAGATGAGCGTGGACACCTGAGCTCTGTGCATGATCAGGGCATTGCCCTATCAGTGGATACCGTATCTGCTAAGCATTATTGCCTCTCTCTGGGTTCTTCTTTCCCCGCAACAAACATTAGCTACCTGGTGCTTTCATGAATTCAGCATGGGCCTTCCTGCGCCCTCTTTATGGCAGCATGGAGATGTTCCTGCGCAGCAACCTCACCCCCATGGCAAGGGCCTACCGTTCCTTTTATTTTCTGCCGTCTCTGTCAGTACCTGTGTTTGTTGCTGGCAGTCCAAGGTGCAGGCCTGCAATTTACTACAGCAAGAGCTTCCTAGACTTTGGTTCACCAGCACACAGAAAGAAGCGTAAATGAAAGCTTGCCTGATGATGACTGCTCTGGTGGGGTTGAAAGCCCAGGCCGTCCCTCCCAGGTGATGAAGGACAAGATAGACGAGCTGTTAAACTCTTCGGTGCTTTTAGCAGCTGTGATGT